TAACGGTAAGAAAATTTCTAGAAATGGGAAAAAAATGCCCTCCAAACAGGGGCTAATATTAGTATCTACTTTCAGGTGTATTTGTGTAATATTATTTTAAATATTAAAAAATTTAATTATAGTACAGAACCGAATGGAACCGAACCGAACCCGAACGGTTCCAAAATTATACCGAAAATTTCTGGAACCGAAAAAAATCGAACCGAATCGAACCGAACCGAACCGACCCGTGCCCACCCCTAATTTTGAGTATGCAATGTTTGTTGGGTAAAAAACTTGAAACTTCAGGCCTTATTCCAATTTAGTCACTCAATTCACTTTGTTTAATAAGGTTGCAAACTTTAACTGCCAACTTATTGATATGATAGTAGACCTTACTTACGGTTCTCTCCAAATGTGAGAACACAATTATTTTCAAGTAGGCAAGATAAAACTTCTGTTGGATTTTGAAACCCAATGAATTTCGGACGATGACGTAAACGTTGGATTAAATTATTATAAACAACCAAGTCTAAAGGCACAACCCAAAAGTAACCTAAACAATTTATATTCTCATGACCCCATATATATTACATCTTGATAACTTTGAATTTTAACTCATTTAACCTCTTTTATTGGTCCAACTAAAGTCTAACCTAACCTATATATATGGCGTATTTGTCCTAACCGTTTTGTGGATGATTTGTGTGTGAAAGGAGAAAACACGAATGCCATATTGAGAGAGAAAATGTGTGTGCACTGTGGAGAGAAAAATCCGACTGCCATTACTTCCAAAAATCGACACTTGCTTCCTTCATCTTTGGTCTCCATTTCGTATCTCTTTCACTAGTTTTTCTTCTTGCCTTTGTGGCTACAAATCATCTCCATTATCTTATCCTTTGTGAGTGAGATTGAGGAGTAACCGAGGTAAATATATTGGTTGTGGGTTGGAGTCGTTTAGATTGGTTGTTTGGCAGAGAAAGATAACGTGAAATTGAGCCCGAAAAACACAATTTTGGTGATCCTTGGAGCAAGGTTTCGCGATAATTGGTATCAGAGCTTCAAAGTGGTAGATTTAGCTCAAAAAACTGACCAAAAACGAATCATAAAAGCAACAGAAAAACGATCGAAAAACTGTCACAAAATCTGACCTGTTTTCATGATTTCCAGGAAATCTAGACACCTGGTGAACAATCGGAGACCATTGCGTGGCGTACAGGCGGAGGGGGTCCCGGAGGTCAAGCACGTGTCACCAACGACGATGTATGACGGTGGCGCGTGGCGACCACGCGTAGGGGCTATGAGCGGCTCGTGAGAGCGCGTGGAGTACGTTCCGGTGACAATGTCTTCAGGCAGTTTGTTCCTGATATTTTCCTTGACATTTTAGTGTTGTTAGTTTTCTATTTCAGGTTATACAGCGAAGTCCGAACAATTGTGTTCTTCGCATGTTCGAGATTCGATCGTGATTAATTGATTCCTGCGATTGTTGGATACTTTATGATGAATAGTTGTGGTCCTAAAGTGATAAATTTGCATCTCTCGGTATTTACGGACTCAGATGGTCCATTTTGGTATATCGACTTAATCCCAATTTAAATTTCAGCATTATCGTGTCATCGTATGTGGTGACATTAAGATTGAGGTTACCTTGTGGGGGTAATATTGCTTTTACTAGAAATTTAGGAATTATTTGGTATATTTGCAGTGTTGAATTTTGATTGCAAGTTGGTAATTGATTATGTACTGTAACTGTTGATTTGTCTCTGTGTGAGATTGTTTTGCGTGGAAATTTGAATTGTGTTGGCATACATACGT